TCACAAACACTTCTATTTTTCTCACCATGATTCAACTCTTCCACAGCAATGATGAGACCCGAAAACTTCGAAGAAAGCATAGCCGTCCGAAAACAATCATGCTTTCTCTTAGAAAAAGTTAACTGAAACATGCCGTGCCTAGTGGAGAAGTATGCCTCACAGCTTCTAGATGATGCTCACAAGATCACTAAAACTTTTTAGTTTCATTCTTACTTTCATTCCTATTTCCTTCAAAACAATCTCACAAACACTTCTCTTTTCTCACCATGATTCAACTCTTCCACAGCAATGATGAGACCCGAAAACTTCGAAGAAAGCATAGCCGTCCGAAAACAATCATGCTTTCTCTTAGAAAAAGTTAACTGAAACATGCCGTGCCTAGTGGAGAAGTATGCCTCACAGCTTCTAGATGATGCTCACAAGATCACTAACACTTCTTACTTTCATTCCTATTTCCTTCAAAACAATCTCACAAACACTTCTCTTTTCTCACCATGATTCAACTCTTCCACAGCAATGATGAGACCCGAAAACTTCGAAGAAAGCATAGCCGTCCGAAAACAATCATGCTTTCTCTTAGAAAAAGTTAACTGAAACATGCCGTGCCTAGTGGAGAAGTATGCCTCACAGCTTCTAGATGATGCTCACAAGATCACTAACACTTTTTAGTTTCTTCTTACTTTCATTCCTATTTCCTTCAAAACAATCTCACAAACACTTCTCTTTTCTCACCATGATTCAACTCTTCCACAGCAATGATGAGACCCGAAAACTTCGAAGAAAGCATAGCCGTCCGAAAACAATCATGCTTTCTCTTAGAAAAAGTTAACTGAAACATGCCGTGCCTAGTGGAGAAGTATGCCTCACAGCTTCTAGATGATGCTCACAAGATCACTAACACTTCTTACTTTCATTCCTATTTCATTCCCAACAATCTTACAAACACTTCTCTTTTCTCACCATGATTCAACTCTTCCACAGCAATGATGAGACCCGAAAACTTCGAAGAAAGCATAGCCGTCCGAAAACAATCATGCTTTCTCTTAGAAAAAGTTAACTGAAACATGCCGTGCCTAGTGGAGAAGTATGCCTCACAGCTTCTAGATGATGCTCACAAGATCACTAACACTTCTTACTTTCATTCCTATTTCATTCCCAACAATCTTACAAACACTTCTCTTTTCTCACCATGATTCAACTCTTCCAAGAAAAATGCTGAACATGTTTCCGCTTTCCTAATGTCTACTGTATTTCAAAACTAGTGTGCATCTATGTTACTTCAAACTAGTGCATTTGTTGCCTGATTTTTGCATATTTATCTCATCTTGGTTCGGAGTTGGATGAGTGTCGATACCATCCCATTTGTTTCTGTAATGAAATATAGACATAAAGATTTTTTCTTCGAATTCTCACTTACCGTAGATTACTGAACTTTTTTACAGATCCGATGAAGCTAATGGTTCGAAGATTGGAAAGCCGGAGAGAAATATAATAATGTGAGAAGACCATCATGACCTTCACGCCTTTCGATGGACTCAATTCTGAAAGAGAAAAGTTCACGAGCAAAAACTTGAAACTTTACTCACGATTACTAGTTTGTATTTGCAGAAAATTGAGAACACTAAAAACAGCGTGATAAAGTGAAGTAATCTGTATAGTTGTGGTAGTTTTTATTGTCTCCCATCTGACTGGAGTTTTAAACATGACATTGATTAATGAACGAAATTTGATGTTTAAAAACATAACGAAAAACTAGAATCACCAAAAAATGTATTGAAGATTGAAGATTGAAGATTGAAGATGAAAAACAAAAAGGCAAAAAAAATGATTTCATGGATGTGAACTTTTTGCAAATCATTACTGAAGGTTCTCTCATTGGTTTAAGAAGTCCCTGATTGTTGATTCCCAGAGAACCTGAAATATGTTCTGTTATAATTTATATGTTTCTTAAACATACTTTTTTGGCTTCAGCAATGATTGCCTTGAAGTGGGGGGAAGTCTTGATGTCATTAAGGATAAAATCCTTTTTCAGAGTGTTCATGTCTTCCGGCAGAGCGTAATTTACATCAAACTGTTTGCTGAAATCAAACACATCAAAGATTATATTTTTCTCTTCTTACAGAATGGTCGAGAAAACAGCTGTTTGGAAAAGATCGATCGGTACACCTGTCCAGATGAAAACATCCTCTTGTTTCTGAAAGCGAAAATAAGTTTTATTCACATTACTTTATAATGTGTTCTCACCATGATGTCAATGTTAAACCTCTTCATCCATAACTTCTCCGATCCAATCAGTTTATATAGAATCTTTTTTTGAATCGGATTCCAAACTACAAAATTCATTGCATATCTTGCTCCTTTTAGTGGAAGCCTTGTGGTCGAGATGAACCGGAACCCTTCTGTCAATCTGAAAATATACAAATAATTTTGATGATTTTCTGAATTAACTATACCCAATTTGTTCTAGCAGTTTGGAAATAACAGAATACGGCTCTGAGGAGACTTGTCTGTTTTTGACGTTGATTATTGTGAAGTTTGAATCTTGAGCCTGAAATTTCATGATTGAATTACGTTTTAGCTGTCATTTTTCATGAGACTCCTATTGCTAAAAAAGCCCCAGGTGTTGAAGACAAGTAGAATCGCGTTGCGTTTCAGGCCGCGTAGCGCAGTCGGTAGCGCTTTTTGTGTTCCCCCAAACAGGCCTAGGTTCAAACCCTCCAGAGGTATCAACTTTCAAATTTTCTATCAATTCATATTTTGAGTTCTCCCGTTCTTTAAGAAAAGTACTGCAAATCATACGCTTTACTATCCAGCAATGAAATGTTAGAGTTACTTACTAATTCGAGACGTGCGAACTCTGAATCATCTGCACCTGGAGTTGGCAAAAAACGTTGAACAGGCATGCTTCCAAATCCTTTATTTTTCCACTTCTTCGTGGCACACTGCTCTGAAGTTTCACTTGGATTCATTCGAGAGCCCTGAAATTAAAAAAAAAACATTATTCCGAGTTTTCTTATTCACAAGTTGAACTCACTTTTTCTGGAGATGCAAATATTGAGAGTACGCTGACGGTGCTTTCAACTGTATGCAAAGCTGTTGATTGAACTGGCTGAAAATACAAAAGATTTGTTTTCTCACAATCATTTTTAAATTTTGAAAAATGAATATTTGTGAAAGCAGGCATAAATCTCGTTGATAAATGAGAAATTGAATTCAATTTTTTCTTAGAGGTTTGATGAATTATTAGCTGGAAATAGTCTATTTACCGAATGATGTTGACAAGTTCCACTTGATTCAAATTGAATTGATGGCGGAGCAGAACGGGGAGGAATTTGAACCATGAGTGGGATTCCATTCGATAAACCATTTTCCATTGCTCCCATCGTCATTTCAACTGCTAACTTTGCCTCACAACTCATTGGACGATCAAAGCACAAAACTATTTCGCCATCTTTTTCGAAGAAGTAGGAGATGAGGTGACAGGTTTCGTAGTCGTTCAAGACCCTATTCGCATTGACTTCCCAAATTCGATCACCTTTCTTCACATATTTTTCCGCCAACGAACCAAATTCAACATCCCAAACGTACACTTTTCCATCCCATGATCTAATTTTACATCCTAGAAATCCCTCTTTTCCGTCTGAGCTGATTGTGACTTTTCCGTAGAAATATCCGGCGCTTCTTCGAGAACTTTCATTTTGTAGAGTCTGTTGCATTTGATAGATCTTTCTCATTTCATCGAATGATACGTCTTCTCTGGTGAGATCAATGGTGGCGAAAGACATTGAATTATAAAAATGATAGTAGAACTCGTCTATATCCAAACATTCTTTCCCATTTATTTTCTTCACAACATCTCCAACAAAAACTTTTCCTTCACACACTGTATGGTTTTCCACTAAGACTACTTTCATTCCCTGATCGAACTTCAGGCCGCACGACTTTCCAAGTTCAATATCAACAATGACTTGATGATCCATTCTCACCGTGGATGTCGTCGGGCCTTCGATTTGCGGGCATGGTGTCTGAAATATACAGTACTTTAATACTGATGAACTGTGGAACATGAAAGTTTACGAGGACTCTATTCACCCAGCACTTGAAGGCAAACTTAGCTCGTGGGCATTTTTGGTGGCTTGGCGCAGTCGGGAGAGCTATTGGTTAATGTTATTCTCTCCATGGGTTCAAACCCAATAGAGGAATCCACCATCGCTATTCTAGAGGAGTTTTTTTTTTCATGTTTTACCATCTTGAAAGAAGACAGATATATAAAAATTTTTCTGAAAATTTGATAGAACCTCTGGCGTGTTTGAACCCATGACCCGCCTTGCTGACCACCAGAATCACTACCGGCTGCGCTACGCGGTCCGAAAAGCGCGCGGACTCTGTTTACCTCTAAAGCCCTGGAGTTTTCGTCCCACTTGTATTCCTCCTTCTTGAAGAACTACCGTATCCCCAAATTTTGTTGAAAAACCAAACTAAAAAGATCAATTCACAGTTTTCGTTCCGACGAGAAGTTTCAAAGCAATGAAAACGTTTTCTACTATGGAATTTCCAATTTACAAGAACATAATTGATGGGCTATGAAAATAAACCAAGAATATTTCAAAATATCTTATTTGCCGGTCACTACATTATTTCCCCACATATTTCTAAAAACAAAATGCAAGAGTTTGCGGGAATTGAACCATCATGCTTTCGATTGGACGCCGCGCGCTCTATCCACTTTACTATATGTGAAAAAGCGGCATGAGTATAGGAAAGAATAAAGGTTTAACATTCAGGATGAAGGGGCGGTTGTAGCGCATTCTAAAATAGTTGGTTCGGAGGACTAACTTTGTTTTTTCTTCAATTTTTAAACGTTACTCACCTCCTCGTTCTTTTTCTTTTTCATCAATGGGCTGCGAGCAGACTCCTTATCGCTTTCGATGAAAGTAGAGCAATCGTCAATTTCTTCAATTAAAGATGCGTCGGAAGTTTCACCAGCAACCGATACTTGAGTTGATGAAAGTGACGAGAAGAGTCTTGAAAAAGAGCCCGTTGCGACGTCATCATAACAAGTGGAGTCTTCGACGAATTCTTTCGGTACGTGGAGAATAACATCATTTCGAAGATTTTGATTTCTTGGATTTTGTGGAATCAATTGAAGTGGCGGAGTGGAGACATCATCAGAAGCAGATGGAATCGTTGTCTTCTCGAGAGTCTTCTCATTGGTGCTTTCGGACGATAGAAGTAGTGCACGCTAAAATTATTCAATTAAAAAAAACTCCGAATTCACAGTGGCTATAATTTCTTTCAACATAGGATTGTCTGAAACCACAGGTTTTCCTGTTCTTCTACGCGACTAAGAGCTCTCATAACATGCTTTCGACTATTAAAACAAGGTAGTTTTCTTTCCCAAGAAGATACTTTATAGATGAGAGCTCAAATTTCCTTCAATGACTAAGAGTTTAGAGTTTATTAACTTTTGTTTTGCATTGGGAAAAATTGGTTCCCATACTGAATTACAAAACCAACCTCTTTCTCGTTCAAAACTGAACCAAAAAACACTTTTCCTTCCCCAATGGAGACGGTTTTAGTGACTGTAGTGTCCATTGAGGTACTCACAGAAATGAGATGAGCCTGAAATTTGAGAAGACGTTTGACTGGTATTTCAAAAGTGATCTCCCATGCTTGCGAGCTCTTATCTCTGAGTATAAACGTACCTCCAAGAATGATACACCTCCCACAGTTTTCTCGAGAGATATATGCAAGAAAGCGTCATCTCCGTACTTGAAGTCATCAGAATGAATGGTCCTAAAATCTAACTGTATTTTTTAAAGTTTTGTATCGTTCTTACTCGAATTCAAACTGAGTGTTGTAAAAATCATCAATGTTGCCACGACTCCAAAAGGTATACATTCCTTTTATGCCGATTTCCATTAGTCTTTGTAAGACTTCTTTTTCAATGACAGTAGGAATGGATTGATCCTTCGGGTTTACAGACAGTTTGATCTTCAACTCAAACATTTCGATACTTTGGATGCTCAAAAGACAGAAAAACGGATCAAATTGTCGAATTCCATACGCGATGAGAATATCCGACGCGATCTCCTGGATGCTCTGAAAACAAACAGTTTATATATTTTGTTTTAAAGTTTTCTCTTTTTTCTTATAATCTTTTTTGTTTTTCACTGTTTTCATTCATTCTGCTGTTAATATTCTATTTACAGCTCTAATGTTTTCATGTGATATAAGAATAACTTTTTGTGAAAGTTCAGTTATGATGTATGGAATTTTTACAAACCTTTTCGTTGTTAGTTTTGAAGAAAGACGGCGAATGGAGCATTCTTGTTCTGAAATTTCAAGATTTTGGTTCAATTATGATCTCAAAAAAGTGGAAAAAAAAAGATTTTCATGAAAAAAATTAAAAATGGTTTTTTTTCAAGAATATTTTAGAGTTGTCAGTTCACGTTATTCACGTTCCCAGGAACTTGTGATTATAAGATTGCTTCGAATAGTTTCAATAAGTGTTCTGAAACATCTCAAATGAAGGCAGAGATGATTCTTGGGAAATTATATTCTTCACATTATCGTTCAATTAGCTTTCAAAATGAATAAAATGAGATAGTCCAAAATAACGTTCTATCGAAGCTGACGGCTTAAGACATTTCCATTTTTCGAATAATTTTAGTAAGATTTCTTTTTTTTTTTAATTCTCGATACAATCAAAATTTATGAGCTCTGTTTCATGTCTATTTGTGAAAGGTTTTGTATAACAGTTCAATGTATTATATCAGTGTTTCCCTCTGAAACCATTCCGAGTTTCAGAATTACGGTCAGCAAGAGTTTCTCTAATTGTGCTTCACATCTTGACTGTCTTTTCATAACTATGATCATTGATGTTGCTCAACAACGTGATTCCCATGCCCTTCTCATATTCAATCTGACGTGTTTTTGTACTTAAAAAGTGACCGATCTCTGGGTTCCCTCTTCTTTTTCTTCTTATCATTTACACTGGTTATTTATTGTGATAGGATAGCCCTCTCAACAAGAATGAACAATGCACTTTGAAGAGTCACAGACATTAACCGGCTGTTGCCGCTTCCTTCTCTTCCGAGTTTTCCTCTTTTACCTCAACCAATCTCTTTCTTGTTCTTTTCATTCTTCAATTGATTCCTAGATATGATTTCAACCAGATATCTCAGGCCTTCAGTTTCAATTTTTGGATTTGGAATGTCGGTGAGTTCAATTGGTTCAAAGTATCACTTCCCTATGAGTTTTATTGTCATCATCACACATCAAAAACTGTTTTATCTTTCTATAAAATGTTCATTGGTTCATTCTTTTATCATATTGTCTTGTTTATATAATTGTAGAGAGTTAAGATAACTAGCAAAAGGAATCATTGTTTTCTTTTCTCCAATCAGTTCTTCAACATCGATTCTAAGTTTATCACACAAAAAAATCCAGAAAAACTTCAAAATGATAAGAAATCATTTCATTGAAGTTTTCAGGAGTTTTCCAAGTTTTTGAGATACCATGAGTCTTTCAAAGAAAGTTTATTTCGAAAAGATTCCAATAAAACTGTATCACATGGTTTTGAACAATTATAAATCAAATCCTCAAATTCTGAGTTCCAAGTAGTTTGGATTATGTGTTTCAAGTAAGATTCTCCGTTCTCTTGAACGGTATCCCGTTTACATTCTATACTTGGAAGTCTCGATGCTTATTCTCTTTCCTTTGAC